TTTTCTGTAGACTGCCCTTTTGAGTCTTTTTCCAATCAGCTACTGTTAATATTCTAAATAGTTTCTAAAAATGTAGAAAAAAAGACCATTTAATTATCTTAATAAGACTTGTGACTTTCCTCAAAAACTTTGAGCATTTTGCTTTTATTTCCTAATAGTGAACTATGTCATGTTATAATTTATATTTTAAGATTTCCTTTTTATATTTTCAACCATTGACTAGTTTAATAAAGATGCTATTTCATTTAAGTTACAATTATGGAAGAATTATACTATTTTACTGTTATATTACTTATTTCATGTAATAGATACCATGTTGAAAATGGTCATCTCTTCACTTGTCTTGGGAGAAAATGAGGGTTAAGTAAAAAAGATCAAATTTTGTTAATATCATTAAAATCATATACTGGTTGAAATTTTATGTATTGTAGAATTATCTGCATATTTGAAATTACTTTAACTCAAAAAATAATTTCTGGGGGGAAGGGAAGGAACTTCCTGTTATGAAATTTACTTCATGATTCCCATCTTTGCTTCTGTCTCACATTTTGTGATGAAATCTTATATGTATATATAATATTTAAGATAAAGGTAAACCTTTATTTTCCAAATCTTAATTATATTAGTATATATTTTTAAAAAATTATAAAAGTGCAGCTGATTTCCAATAGTGTGTAAGTTTCAGGTTTAACTGAACTAAACAGCAGTTTAGTTATACTACAGTGTTTATTACTCGATGACTATTTTGTCATCCTATGCATTGTAATTTACCATTTGAATGGAATAAGTTTTATTTGATGGATATTTTTTAAACAGGTATTTACAGTCTTTTCAGTTCTCTGGATAGTGTATTGGAAAGGGCTGAGAGTTGAGACTCCTGGGTTCTGGTCCTGCCTGCCTCCATCATCAAGTAATTGGCAGTTCCTTCATTTTATATTATTTTGTGTTAGAGAAAACTAATTTCTAGAAATGAAAGCATATAGATTCAAGTTTGTTTTTTTAAAAGAGAAGGCATTATTTGATTGTGAATTAGTTGGACTTATAAAATTGTGTCAGGTTCAACACTTTATTTTTTTATGTATAAACCAATTGTTAATTATCTTTTTCCAGTGTATAGCCTCCTAGTTCAGTTCAGTTCAGTCGCTCAGTTGTGTCTGACTCTTTGCGACCCCATGGACTGCAGCATGCCAGGCTTCCCTGTCCATGACCAACTCCTGGAGGTTACTCAAACTCATGTCCATCAAGTCGGTGATGCCATCCAACCATCTCATCCTCTGTCATCCCCTTCTCCTCCCACCTTCAATCTTTTCCAGCATTAGGGTCTTTTTCAATGAGTCAGTTCTTCGCATCAGGTGGCCAAAGTATTAAGAGTTTCAGCTTCAACATCAGTCCTTCCAATGAATATTCAGGACTGATTTCCTTTAGGATTGACTGGTTTGATCTCCTTGCAGTCCAAGAGACTCTCAAGAGCCATCTCCAACACCACAGTTCAAGAGCATCAATTCTTCAGTGCTCAATTTCTCAGGATTTCCTTTGGGCACACAATATACCATGTTGACTGCTGCTCCTTCTACTTACTTCTAAAGGATTCCTCCCCACCCCAAATCACTGGTGAAAGTGACTCCTTTCTTTTGGAAAATGTAAATTTTGTCATCTCTATAGATCATTATGAGTTACCATTGTGCTTTAGAATATGATTCTCTGGATAAGGTTAAGTATATTCTCATATATGGCAATATATCATCAGGACTTGATAATTTTTAAAACTGTTTAGTGAACAGCATTTGTAAAATTAAATTGTTCCTGTTAGATAATGTTATTAAATAGGCCCCCCTGAAAAGCATGGATATCACTTTGGTAACAAGAAGATGCTGCTTTGTAAAGTTTCATTTACATACTAATTGCCCTTGCTTTATTTCTATAGCAACAATAAGCTACCCCTTTGGTGATAGTTAACTTGAATTATTCTTCACCAATGCCAAGTTTAAATCAGCTATGTTAAGTAAAAGAAGCAAAGAATGCTTATCAGAAAAGTCATTTATTACATTGAAATTTGTTTTATATGCTTGACTAATGCTATAAGGGTAAATATTACATTTAAAAATTATTTCATCAGTAAAGTTTCATGTTTTTTCGAAGACTTTGCATTTGTGCTTTTAAAATAAATTAAAAATATTTTTGCTATACCAGTATATTCTGTATGTGAAGTGCTGTGCTGTGCTTAGTCACTCAGTCGTGTCCGACTCTTTGCAACCCGATGGACTGTAGCCTGTCAGGCTCCTCTGTCCATGGAATTCTCCAGGCAAGAATACTTGAGTAGATTGCCATGCCCTCCTCCAAAGGATCTTCCCAATCAGGGATCAAACGCAGGTCTCCCACATTGCAGGCAGATTCCTTACCATCTGAGCCACCAGGAAAGCCCCGTGAAATGCTCTAGTTAATGGTAGATAACATGACTCAGAAATTTAAACACTTTTTAGAATAGAAAGTCAAATGCATGTCTAAATGGATCTGTTACTTTGAAAGTTCTTTTTATGTGTGTTAGAATTGTGTGTCTTGTATGACTTCTGGTATTTTTGCCTGAATTAACGATATTAAAAAATCAAAGGATAGACTATAAAGGACTCTGATGTTCTGTTGCGCGCGAAGGCGCTTCAGTGGTGTCTGAGCAGCCCTGTGGACCGTAGGCCGCCAGGCTCCTCTGTCCACGGGATTCTCCAGGCAAGGATGCTGGAGCGGGATGCCATTTTCTTCTCCAGGGCATCCCGTGACCCCAGGGATCGAACCCATGTCTCTTACCTCTCCTACACTGGCAGGCAGGTTCTTTACCACTAGCGCCACCTGAGAAGCCTAATATTCTGTTAGTGTCAACTTTTTTTTTTTTTTTTTGCCTTATCTCATAATGACTTGAATATTGAATGATTAAATTCTGAAACAATTCAATGAAGTAGTTCACTCTTTAGTAGTACTTTCATTACATCATCAAGAATGTTGCCCTTTCTTTGAATGTTACTTTTTCAGTGTTAAATTGTTTGCTGCCTTTGACGCCTAAACTTGATAAAAATTTATGGTAATATTTTATTTATCTCCAAAAATTCTGCTATAGGAGAGGTAAATAGTTTAGACTCAGAGAGATGGAAAGTGAAAGTGTAAGTTGCTCAGTGTCTGACTCTTTGTGCCCACATAGACTGTATAGTCCATGGAATTCTCCAGGCCAGAATATTGGAGTGGGTAGCCTTTCCCTTCTCCAGGGGATTTTCCCAACCCAGGGATCGAACTCAGGTCTCCAGCATTACAGGCAGATTCTTGACCAGCTGAGCCACAAGGGAGGCCCCATAGAGATGGAAGATACTTTAAAAGATCACCCAGAATCCAGCCTTCAGCCTACACTTAAGAAAAAACCTAGTTATCTTCATGAAAACTTGGCTGTTGGCTTTCTTTAATATAGATATAGCTGACCATAGTGAAGAGAAACACTATGAATAAAACGTATTTGCATTTTTTTAATGTATCTATTTTTAAGTCTCTTATCCTTTACAAACTGTCTCCTCCACAACCCTTTTTATGTTGGAAATTTTGTGATTAGATTTTTGTTTTATTTAACACAAATGAGACTAAATTTCCAGAGAGGGCGGATTATGCCTCAGTGAATTTTAAATAATGGATATAAGAAATTTGAATAATAAGACCTGATGTTTTATATTTGTTACTTCTGGAATATTTGAGTATTAAGATATTTTAAGTAAATTATTTTTATAAAAATGGTTTGGAGCATTGACTATGTTTCCTTTTTTAAATTACTTTGAATTTTTTATGGTTTTATTTCTCAAGCCTTTTTCATTTATGATAGAGAGTAAGTGTTCTTAAATGTTGCGTGAAAACTCTGTTAATAAATGTTATTTATTAACTTTTCTTCTTTGGTAGCCACCGATTTATAAGGTTACTGAATTATTGTCACTTATACCTCAGTTAATTGCTTTCTTGAATTACCACCACCTTGTCATATTTATTATTAGTAATTATTAATGACTCAATCCCTGTTAAGTACAGACTTTCTGTCTGGCACATGTAGTATCTTTAGCTAGTATTTGAAAATGTGCTTGAGTTCCACTAACATATATATTCCTTCCTAGTTTTACTCAAAATCTTCACATGTGCATAATGACAAAGTTCTTCATGATACTAATGTTAATTCTGTAGTTACACTATAAAGGAAAGCAGCTTACACTAATATTTTACATTACTATTTTATAAAGGACTTTGGTTTTTTTCCGAGTGCTTTGATTTTTAATAGCAACCCCATAAAATAAGCAAAGCAGGTTTTTTATAAGCCTCATTTGACAGATAGGAAAAGTGGGACTCCGTCAAATAACTTGCCCTAAGTTCACACAGAAAGTAAGAGTCAAATTTTGATCTTAGGCCTTGTATCTTCAACTGGCTTTATACCATGTAGCATCCTTTTCTGTATATTTATCTTTGTTAAGCATTCCATTGCTGACAACAGCAATGTGGCGATCAGAAATCTAAGACCAAATTACACAACTTAAAAAAAAAAACTCACCCATGTGTCTACTGCTGTTCCAAGACCTGTGATAGTTAAAAAGATAATTTATATTCCTCATTTCTTTTCAGTAATATTTGTCTGAGAAAATGCACATTACTGCCTGTCAGAAGGTGTGACATCTTTTAACACTGTTTCTACTTTATTTTTCTGCTGGCACATGTAGAATCTTTAGCCAGTAATTAAAAATGTGCTTGAGTTCCACCGACATATATTTTACTAGTTTTACTCAAAATCTAGGAAAACTAGGTTCCAGCTGCATACAGATAGTAATACATATAGAAGAAAAAGACTTTTGAAAATAATATATTTTATGACACACTAATATTTTAATTGCAGCAGAAAGAGTTGAGTCAGTGTTATCTTAGTCAATAAAATGGGTTTTATTTTTGTCCAGAAATGTTCTGTTAATTCAGATTTGTCATTTTTAACTTTGCAGCAGTTAGAAGAAAAGAGTGAGGATCAAGAAGACAAAGAATGTTTGAAACAAGCAATAACAGCTTTGCTTAATGTTCAGAGTGGTATGGAAAAAATATGTTCTAAAAGTCTTGCAAAACGAAGACTGAGGTGAATATTTTCACTTTTTTTAAAAATAATCCTCCTTTTCACCCTTAATACTGTGGTATAAATTCAGGGATCCCTGGTCCCTCCTCAAGTAAACAATGAAGAAAATACTTTTAGTGACAAGCTTGGTCTTTCAGAGGAAGTGACATCAAAGCCAAGAGAATTTGTTATTGTTTGAAAAACCTTTCATATTTGTGCATTTTCCTTGCATACTCCCAGACAAGACCTCCTGAGAGTCAACTGGTAAGCTAAAGGAGAGATAGAGCAAATGTATTGGATAGATTTATGTCAACAACATTGTTCTGTCAAAGTAAAATTAGTAGTGGCCTTTATTTTAGGGATTATGTAACTCGAGGCATTAATTCAGATAATACGCTTCCAGTTTCCTAATTATAGTAAGTGCATGGTTTTTAGCTTTAGGTATTGTCTACTTAAGCATTTCTAGATAAATTTTTTAATCTCTTACTTTTTTTTCACTGTATTGGGCTACTTTGTAATACTTGTCATTCTAAATATTTAGTAGCCATGGTAGAAATAATCATTCTGTAGCTAAATATATAGGGTAGATTTTTGTCAGTAGTCAGTTGTTCTTTTTAGAGCACTAAAAAAATGTCTCTAATGTGTTGCTTTAGTTTCCAAAATTGTGCAACTCTGTAACACTAATATATCTGGAGAATCAGTGAAAACCTTCACAGTGCAACTTTTAAAAATATACTTTAGCACTGTCATTTATATTCATGAATTATAGATTCCCTGTCATCTTTGTACTAACAGTGTTTTTTTCCTTTATCCCAGTGAATCTGCATGTCGGTTTTATAGTCAGCAAATGAAGGGGAAACAACTAGCAATCAAGAAAATGAACGAGATTCAGAAGAATATTGATGGTTGGGAGGGAAAAGACATTGGACAGTGTTGCAATGAGTTTATAATGGAAGGAACTCTTACACGTGTAGGAGCCAAACATGAGAGACACATATTTCTCTTTGATGGCTTAATGATTTGCTGTAAATCGAATCATGGGCAGCCAAGACTACCTGGTGCTAGCAATGCAGAGTATCGTCTTAAAGAAAAGTTTTTTATGAGAAAGGTACAAATTAATGACAAAGATGACACCAGTGAGTACAAGCATGCTTTTGAAATAATTTTAAAAGATGAAAATAGTGTTATATTTTCTGCCAAGTCAGCTGAAGAGAAGAACAATTGGATGGCAGCGTTGATATCTTTACAGTACCGGAGTACCCTGGAAAGAATGCTTGATGTGACCATGCTGCAGGAAGAAAAGGAGGAGCAGATGAGGCTCCCTAGTGCTGACGTGTACAGATTTGCAGAGCCTGACTCTGAAGAAAATATCATATTTGAAGAAAACGTGCAGCCCAAAGCCGGAATTCCAATTATCAAGGCAGGAACCGTTGTTAAACTTATAGAGAGGCTCACATACCACATGTATGCAGGTAAGAAGTATAAACTTGCCTGTCACTTTTATTCTCCTCCTTCAAGCTGATTTTTCTTTGTTGCACAGGTCATTGTGCCGAAAATAGAAAGCAAACTGACAACAAAAGACCTCCGCATTATCAGAGTTCATTTTCCTTTGACTAAAAATACTGCCACTTTATAATTCTTTGAAATTTTATAATTTTTCTACCACATTTACATATGTCATTTTTAACTTTACAATCAGAGTTATAAATAAAGTCACTGGGCTAAATTTACCCAGTTAGCCAGTGGCAAAAATAAGACTGAAACTAGTGATAAACCAGTCATCATTAGGATCTAAAAAATTTTTTTACTCCTTTACCTCTTTTTTTCTCTTTCATTACTGGCGTTATAAAATTAGTAAAAATTCTAATACATGTTATGTATCCATTACCAAAACTGTACCAGTAGTAGAAATATATACAGCATTGCTTTTTCTTAATTTCCATTCCTAAAATTTATTAAATTTAGCAATCCTGGAGTCTTTTAAATTTTCAGGATTTTTTACAACTGATATTATTTAGAAAACAATTTACCTTATTATGGCAATTTTTAGAGATAAACATAGGGGTTTGGAGGTTTCCTAGAGTGTTGAGACATGTTTGTCTCTAAGTGGACTGAATCAAATATAATATTTGGGAGGTAAGGAACAAATGTAATGGTCAATTCTTTAATTTTATTTCTTCTAATAAAGTAACAGATGATACTCCAGTTTTCTTCAGCTTCCCTACATAGTAGGAATTTTGAGGACTATAAAATACTGTGGAAAGAGCACTATATTTAGATTCACACCCTCACTCCATCACAGTTCCTTAAGGTTTCAGAAGTAGCTTAGTTTTCATCTCAAAAACCAACATAAACAACAGCTATCTTAGAATATTGTTGGAAAGAATAAATGAAATACTATAGGTGAAAGCTCTTTATAAACTTATTTTCAAAGAATGCTTTTATTACAAAGATATATAAAATCAAACTTAACTCTTACAAGTGCTAGTCTTAAAATAATTGAATGTATAAGTTAACCTCCATCTCCAGACTTTTTGCTTAAATATATTTCTGTCTCTAGGATACGTGTCTTTCTGGGGAAATTTCTCCAGCTTTTAAAGTTCTTCAAAAAAATAAATAAAGTTCTTCAAATGGGCTCTCAGTTCTGTCTGGAAACTATTCTGGCACCAGTTCAATTAAACTTTTAAGAATATCCGTTAACTATAATCCACTATAATAAAGATGAATGGTATTCAACACTATTAATCTGTTTAATTTATTAAATACCTGGTCAGAACTACTCATGTGGCCTGGGAACTATCAGGGCCACCTTGCAAAAAAGTAAAATTATAATTTTGTTTCTGTGATCCCAAAGCGTGTTATAAATATGATCTCTTTCATTATCTCCACATGTCTGGGATAAATAAGCCCGTGTTTTGTTTTTAGTTTTTATTTGGCCTCTATGGTAGTTCTTTTGCTAATCTTTTCCCTTGTAAAATAATAGTGTTTTTTTCTTCCCCCAGAGGCAATTTTAAAAGCAGTTTAGGCTCTTTAAGCATATGCCATTTGGTAGTAGCAGGCAGAAACTGAAACATGTTGACTATAACAAAAAAAGACTCTGGGATTTTTACTCTTTTTAGTAAAATTGACTTTATTAATTAATCAATTTTACTATTGATTTTTCACTTAGAAACTTATGTAGTCAGTGTATTCATTTTACTGACACAAAAATAAAAAATAAACCCAAGTATAGAAAATTTAAATAAGCTGCCTAGAATTTTGCAAGAAAAATAAATACATTATTCTGTCATCTTTTTTTACATGTGAAACTAATTTTGATAGGTGCAATTTCAGTAGTAAATATGACACATCTATTTAGCTGATCACCATCAACTTCTTTAAGATCTAGAGTACAGCTTAAAAGCTATCTTATTCAATTACCAGAAATTTATGGTTGCAAAACAGTTATTTCTTTGGTCCTTCTTAAGGGATTTTTAGGGATATGAAAGTTCAAATTGTTCTTCTTGCCACATTATTCTGATTTTTGGATCTTAGAAGATTCACAGAAATTTTTAGCCTAAACATTCTAAAGTATTCATCATCTTATTTTAAACACCTTTGTTTTGGGTCCTTAGACTGTTGAGAGAATAATTAACCCTTAGATTTTCACCTGTGTTTGTGAGACAGCAGCTCTGCTCTTTTCTTCTGTAGAGCAGTACAAGCAGGCGCTAAAGAAGACCCACTAGTGTTTCCTATCAAGTCGAGTGGTATTTGATTTAGAAAATATTTTCAAATTTCAAATTTTTTAATATAATTGTTTTCCTTAAAGCAGTACTGTTAGTGATAAAAATATTATTTACTGCTTGCTTTATTTCACAGAACTAACTACTGATTATTATTAAGTAGTTATGGTGCTACAATTAAATATTTCTTTTCTAGAGACCTATTCTTTTATTTATTTTTTGAATGAGGATACTTTAAAACAAACAAAACTTAACAAGCATAGCTGATAGTTTTTCTTTAGTCTTGGCAATTTTCTCCTTAATATACACAGTTCTCACCAAATCTATAGACATAGTACATTTGCTATGGTGTTTTATTAGTTACTTTTGGTAGTCACCCTCATTTATATTCATCTTTAGCTTTTAAATAGAATAACTTAAATAGTTTTACTTCTAATTAATATGCACTCAGCTTTCTAGATTTATAGAACTTTGCAAAGTTAAGTGTATCCAAATTTAAATTGACAAGATCTTTTTACTTTTTAAAAATGTTAAAGTTTTTTAAAAATTCCTTTCATTAATTTCTTGAGGAATAAAAAGCCAGTGTTGGGTTTAGAGTATTATAGCTAAGTTTTTTTTGGACATTTTTCTTTTCTGTTTTATTTTGAAGTTTAATAGAATATTTTAACTTACGTCATAAATATGTTACTAGTGTAACTGAAATCCACAAGCAGCTTTCATGAACTGTGGTTTACCATATATACCAATAAGTATTAGTTACTAGCTTATTTGACTTCTGTAAGGTCTATGATAAATCTATTACTGGCAACATAGAATGTGTTTTTAATAGACCATGTACGAACTTGTAAAACATGCAAGCAGCTACTTTTTAAGGCCTTTTCCAGCTTAATTGGACTGTGAGGCCTCACACAGTGATAATGGATTAACTGTTTAAGAACTGTTGGTCTGCTCTATTTAATTTTGGTTTGGTTGTTTGACAGGTATTTTTTTATCAGAACATACAGTGTAAGTTGTGGCTTGCACTGAAACAAAAGCTAAAAGTTAGATTGCATATTTTTATTATGTTGTATAGAATTGTAATAAAAGACATTGGCTGTAATACATGAGAAAAATCCAGTAGCTAATAAGCACTACTTACAGACATTTTTTAGATTATAGGTTGGTCAGACATTGTCATCAAAAAACAGAAAACTTGTTTAACCTTTCTTAATTCAGACTTCACTGTGGCTTCAGTCAACTTGATCACTCAGGTGTTTTACAGTAATTTATAAAACAGAGCTATAGATCTCAAATGATCAGTCGTTCACTTTATAGACCCAAACCCAAGGCCTTGAAGGTTATGTGATTTGCCAGAAATCATATCAGCTAATTGCAGGAAAGAGTATGAGAAATCAGGTTTCTTGACTCTTTTAAATATAGAGTTTATTTTCTGTCATGTTACACTGACTCATACAAGGTGATTTTTTTTTCCATTTTTAGATTATAATATAATTTTTATTATGTATATTGAACAGTAAAAATAGAATTACTTGCTTGGTTTGAATTGCCAGAAATATAAATGGCTCTTCACTTCTGGGCAAACACAGGTCTACTATGAAGATACAGTCAGAGTACTGTTTTTTCTTATTGAGATAGGTAATAAATTCTAACTATGGATAACTTCTATTTTAATGCATAGATTTTAGTTTATAGTTAGATGTTGGTCATTATAATTTTAGTTTTTAACAAAATCCAATCTATTGGTGTTACTTGCTGTGTAAATTTAGGTGAATTGGAAAGTGCTTAATTGTTGCTCAAAAGATTACAACAGAGTCTTATGTAGAATCTAATATATGGTGCTGCAGATCCAGTGTTTCTGGGCATAACAGTAATTTGCTAACTACATCAGAACTTCAGAATTCATCCGAAATGGTGTGGGGGTAAATAGTCTTGTTAGATGTATCATTCTGGACCTGGCAAGGATATGTAGAGACTTTTATTTACAGTGAGAAAACACAAAGGAATATGCATAAAGAGGAGGAGATGAAAGTAGGAATTTCAGTTCTATTCCAGAGTTACAGGAAATAATTTAGTATAAATTCATTATTGAGACGTTGAAACATGTGTAAAGAAATGTTTGGAGATGGTGTGTCTGGTTTTGATAGTCTTTTTTAGAGAAATTAGATGACTTTGAGGGAGGGGGTCTCTATTAGATCTGACATTATGTAAAAGCAAGAACTTTTCATTTTAAAGTGTGGGAACAAGGTGTTTCCCCTGCACGGTGTACTTCGGTTTTAAAGAAAATGGTATTTAAAAAACTTAAGCCAATTCATATTTTTCTTTAAAATACTTACTGCTATCCTAGGCACTCATAGAAAATTTGTAAAAAAAAAAACTGCTCTAGATCTCTTTGAAGTTTGTGTTCTATATAAGCTCCGTTTGGGTGTTTTGACTCTTAAAAAAAAACTTTTGAACAATTTTTGATCTATAGGGCAGTGCTGTACTATTTTTAAACTCTGATTTTTTTTTAAGTGTTTGTGCGTCAGCATAGCGTCTGTTTCCTTTTTTAAGGAATTCAAGAGTGATTGTTTATAAATCCTTGTTGAGGAGCTTATTGTTTCTTGTGGCATTTTAAATGGCTGTATTAAAGGGAGAATTATCACATGAACAGACATCCTGATTAACAGTGTTTCACTATGGTGGTTGGGGGAGGGGTGTTTACATAAATAACTATGTAACAAATATTTCATAAATGTATTGACCTTGCCAATAAAAATGTATTGACCTTGCCAATAAAAATGTGTTGAAAAAAAGGATTAAGTTTTTCACCTCAAATGTAATATGCTGTATTCTGAACATTATAGTAATTACATTCTGATTTCCTAAGATTTTCAAGAAATGTACAATAATACATTATGAAAGAATAGCTTTAGAGTGAGGGAGACAGGCAGCTAAAGACCAGCAGAAAATAGGAAGTATCTTATTTGAAATAACCTGAACCTAGACAAGGGACATGATGGTAAACTTGGAAGATAATTTGTACATACAGAGAGGCTGGGTGGACAGAGGGAAGGGAAGCAGAGCAGGAGAGAAATCTTAGCATAGGGCTTTGAGTCAAGGAGAAAAGAGTGTTAGCTAAAATGAAGAAAAACCACAGAGGACATTTCTACCATTGCTCATGTTGTTTGAGAAAGAAGTTTGTGGAATTACATCCACTAGCAAGAAACAAAAAGAGGAGAATATCAAAATAGTAGATTTTCATTTTCTCCACAAATATTTGTGCTTATGTGTTAAAACCAAATCAGCATAGCATGGCTTTTGTATTTTTAATGCATTTGCCTTCCATCTGTCTGTGAAACATCACTTTGTAATATAGGGAGATAACTGTTGCTCTACAACCATCAGAAGCAGTGTAAAACTTAACTTCTATCATTGTCTGATAAATGTGAAGTAGGTACTTTGTTTTCCTACAAAATTACATAACCTGTCCTTATTGATGGGTGTTTTTTAAGTATCTAGTGATTATCTTGGGCTTTCCTATCATCAGTAAGATAAAGGTTTCCAGTGGTTAGTGTAGCATTATATGTGTTACTATCCCTGAAATAGGGAAATCAATAGAAATAAAAACAGCATCTGGAATGTGATATTTTGTGTTAAAATTTCAAGTAGAGATGTTATGTCCTTCTTTAAGTTTTTCATTCATTAGCAGTTTTCTATGGCTTACGACTAAAAATAGAGCTGGAATTAATTCAAGCCTGGGGATGTATGTGGCCTTTAAGATGTTTTTTGAAAGTACTTAAACTTTGGCCAGATTTTCTTGGTTTATTTTTAGCTTCTGCTGGTTTTTTCTTTTGGCAAGTCTGCTCTAATTTCTAATCAGGCTAAAAACAACTTAAACTTGAGTCACTTCAGAAGTTAATACAACAGTGATGCTTGTGGGAGTGTTTATTTCACCGCCAGCTCGAAAAACTCCTCTTCTGAGTACAGTGTACAGGAAGGTACAGCTGCTCCTTCCTAAAATCTGGAAGAAGGCTTAACAAGAATTACAGAATCACAATTAGACTGCTAATTTTTCAATGACTTCAGTGCCTTTAACCAAGATTAGCAGTTTACAGCTTTATTCCGAATTAATAATTTATGTAAATTTCTATAGTGACTATATAACTCGTGAATTCATTCTTTATAGCTAGATCTCACAGCTTTGGAAACCTTAACAAAATCCTTTAATCCAGGGAGGTTATGTGATGTGGTAGAAAAAAGCAATACATCAGAAAACACACCATCCAGATTCCAATTCCATTTCTGTCACTCCACTGTGTGACTTTAGATAACTCTCAGTTACCTCTCTCCTATGTAGAAAGGGACAAACAGCAGCAACCCTGCTCACTTCACAGAAATGACATGGAATGAATGATGTGAATGCTCTTTGAATTCATTACGTAACAGACATCAGGAACTGATGTGATCCCTTTTGACTGATGTGGCAGTGGGACACACCGTGACTTTCCCAGAATTTTCATTAGTTAGTAAAGTACTGAAATGGCCAGAAGCTTTAGTATAAGCTGAAAAGGCTGTTTTAAAATAGTTCGCCTTTAAAAAATAGCCAACTTTCTTAAAACATACTTTAATTTACTTAGAGCTTGCTTTTATCATTTTTCAACTTACAAGTAGCTTTGATATCCCACAAATTTTTAGCCTGACTTAGGTGGAATTTGAGAAGAAATGGACCTGGATATTGATTTTAGACTTTTAGACTAAACTTTTGTTTTAAAAAAGGGAGAGGTCGCCCTTAATTTTGACAGCTCAGGGGTATCTGGAGCACTCTGTACTAAGATCTGGCTCAGTATCTCTGCAGTGGCCACTACTTTTGCTTCCTAAATACATGATGTTTTGAGTAGCCTCACCTTACATATAGATTTGCAGAACAGGAAGAAGATTCTTGGAAGGGAGGATTGTGATGAAACCGATATAAATCTCTGTTTTAAAATCTTGTACAGCCTTCTGTTTTAAAATCTTTTCTTCTGGTTGAGACATTAGTCTTTAACGTTTGAGGAACTCTGTAACTGAAGACAGACAATAAAATACCAACAGAGAGGAAATTACTAAAGGATTGTATCTGTTTAAATTACTTTTATCAGTAATTACTCTAGCCTCAGAAGGTATGAAGCTAAAGGAGAAGAGGGGATTTAAAACGAATATATTTTATTGTGCAAATTTTTCTTTAAAGTATTATAATCTTAAATTCAGGGTTGTCTGATATTTAAATCAGTTCATTATCTTGACGACCACATATACTAGTATATTGGAAGTAGATTTTTATTATAAATCCATGAATTTTATTTTGGCAGGTGGGAAATTAATATAGTTATTTTACTTTCAGGCTAAATTTAGGGTGATTCTTAATCAGACAAAAATCAGACTAAATAGAGGTTTTCCACGCAAATAAATTCTGATTCTTGCTACATCCTATGCTAATAAAAGACATAGTATTTCTTATAAAGAATCCACAGTATGTAGCCTGACAAAAATAAATTTAGTTGCTACTCTCAATAAATTTATCATTAAATTAGACCTTACCATTCCATAGTGATGTGAAATAGGAAAAGGATACTCCCAATAAAAAATGCAAGTTAATGAATTCTCCCCTCCTCCTTTTTAAAGACTCTTAACACCTAAATGTGGACCTTGATGAAATGTGCGTTACAGTGACTGGTGAGTGGTTTTTCCCCCCATTATGGGAAGTTGTCCCCCAGCCACCAGGCCTCTTGTGCTGGTGAGAGCAGCGTTTCTCCAGGGGTTGGGAGAATACTCTCTGAGACTGGAATAGGCAGGTCTGGAGAGGTGATCACACTCAGTCAGAATAAAAAGTAGGTCCTCTCATGGACGTATGAATGAAAAGTAGGTCCTTTTCGTGGAAGCAGTTGAAGATTCATGGTCTTACGGTGAAATTCTAATTGAGTCTGTGTATATGCTTGCTCAGTCTTGTCCAACCTTTAGCCACCAGGAAAACCCCCTCATTGTGTCTACTTGCAGTGCAAGCAATTAAAAGTTGTAAATAGAGCCAAATCAACATATTCTCATACCTGTAATAGTTTTAATAACTTACAGGTGTTTATTTGTAAGCATCTTTTAGCAGTTTTAATTAAGACCTCTAGCAAATAAAACAATTTAGAAACTATTTAACTTAATCAATGACATTACAAGATCTAATCTCCAGTTGAATGCTCTGTTGACATGATTTAAAGGAATCTAGATAACTAATCCTAGATAAATTAGTCTGGATGGCAGGAAAAAGTAATGGGTTATTACGTGGCCTTTGTGTTTTTGAGAGAGAGAAACCCCCTGATGATGCGCTGAGATCCAGGCAGCACGTAGAGACTTCCTTCTGTGCTCTGCCTTTCTCCCCTTTGCATTCCTGCAGTCAATAATGAGCTTAATATCAGCTAGTCAGAGTGTGCAGAGGTCAACAAACAAGTTGATGTAAAATTTTAGTGTCAATCATTTTGCCACTAATTTAGTAAAACACTAAAGCTAGCAATTGATTACAAAGTCCAAAGCACCCTGTGTGGTCAAAACACTTTGGGACCTTAAAAGTTGACTATTTACTCTCTTTTGGAAATGTAAGTAATAATTTTAATCATTCTTCATACAAGATTTTAATAAGATATTTTTCCTTTTTCTTCATAGATCCCAATTTTGTCCGGACATTTCTTACAACATATAGATCCTTTTGTAAACCTCAAGAACTACTGAGTCTTATAATAGAAAGGTCTGTCATTTTTAAATGTTTAAGTTCTTTGTTCTTTTTTTTTTAATGAGATTGAGCTAAGATATAGAAATATTTTGAATGAGCTTTACATTCTAGTTCAAGAATACTTTAAGAAGAAAATATCTTGGAAGAACATTTGTTTTATATTGCTATGTTAGCTTTGATTATTTAAATATAAAAATAGGCATATTTTTTACATGGAAACTCAGTATGTGAAATTTCAAATTTATAGAATTAACCATGTTAAATAACTATAAAAATGTAGAATTTAGGCTCTGGGACTTGAATTTTTAATGATTTAAACGTTCTAAATAGAATTTTTAAAATATACTACATGTTGAGGAGAATGGAGTGCACAAGTACTATAATCAAGAAAAATGTTTCTAACCAAAGAGCACTCAACTTTTCAAAATTTACCATTAAAAAAGTTTATGTTGGCTTATTTAGAGTAATTACACAAGCCCCAAATTAATATCATTCCCTTAACTTTATAATCATACCTATTTTTTAGGCATTGCATATATTCTTTATTCCTTATTACATTTCTAGTTAGTTTCATTTATCTTGGCAAGTATTCATTTCTTTTTTAAAAATTAGTATTTACATTATAGATACCTCACTTGTTTTCACTGTTGTGTATATCCTTAGTAATTTTTACAGTGCTCTCTTAATTGTGCTGACTAGTGAAAAGATTTGTAGTTTTCTGTTTGCATACTTTGATATAATTGATCTTTTCATTAGTTTGTCCTGTTTTATGTTAGGTTTGAAATTCCAGAGCCTGAGCCAACAGAAGCTGATCGCATCGCTATAGAGAATGGAGATCAACCCTTGAGTGCAGAACTAAAAAGATTTAGAAAAGAATATATACAGCCTGTGCAGTTGCGGTAAGCATTAAAATAAATAAGTAAATAAGTCTTTGCTGAACTTTTGTTTCAGAGTTAAATAAGATCTTTCCCAAGCAAGGAGGAAGTAACATGTAAAATGAGTGAAGTAAAGAGAAATTATCAGAAATTACTATATAAGTGTTGATTAAAATAGAATTTTGAAGGTGGTAAGCCACTTACAAGATTAAAGTTGACTCTGGAACACCCTGGGGGTTAGGGACACTGACCATCAGCGGAGTAGAAAATCCAGTCTTACAGTCAGCCCTCTAAAGCCTTGGTTCTACATCCACAGATTGAACTACCTGCCTAGAGTGTAGTACTGTGGTATAGATTTAGTGGGAGAAAAAAAACTATAAATTCAGCCACACAGTTCAAACCCTGTTATTCAAGGGTCATCTGTATTTCATTTGTTGAGTTACTGTGTTTTCATTTATACCTCTCATTGTGATAATGTTTACATTTGAGTTCCCGTATAATTAATTCTTCTTATGTGTTAATACCATAGAGTGTTAAATGTATGTCGGCACTGGGTAGAGCACCACTTCTATGACTTTGAAAGAGATGCAGATCTTTTGCAGCGAATGGAGGAATTTATTGGAACCGTAAGAGGTATGTTTCTTTTTTTTAAGTGCCTTAGTTTTATATGTAACAAAAGTATGGTAACCATCAACTAACATCACTACTCACTGTAGTTTAGAGGTATTTATAATAATGCCAGCATAACCAACTGGAAAAGTCAAAATTTTTTCATCAAACGTTTTTGACCTACAAATTGTTTAATAATGATCCTGTTGATCTAGTGAATTTTCATTTAGTAAATCAACTTACTGATTATTTTGGAATTGGATAGAAGGAGTCTCAATTTATGCTGTTTGTACACATCTGAAAGTATGTGTACCAGAGGACAATTAGGAACTGTTGTAGTAACACCACAATGGAGGTTGACTGAGAAACAGGTAAATAGTGCATAACATATTAGAGAGTCAGCAGAGTATATTGAACTAAGACCTGAGAAGTAAGAGTGCTCTTCTGAACACTGCCACTTGTTAGATAAATGACTGGGTGAAATAATTTTGATTCTTTAGACTTCAGTAACACGATGAGCTATGATTGATGATCTCTAGTTCCCCTTTTAGTTCTAAAGATGTCCTTAACAAACTTGTTTCTATTTCCACTGTACACTTTAAATGAGAATCTAAAAATAAAGGGTTAAATAATAGCACTTTCATGCCTAGTGCAAAACAAAGCCACGTGAAAAAAACACAAAAGGAAGGAATCAGTCCTCTGGCACTGTTTGGTTTATAAAATGTAGTTTGTTAGATTCACAGCTAATGTTGTATGATCTATCATTATAAATCTTATTTGTGTAAGATATCTTTTTTGGAGAGGATTATAAAATAATATCTTGAACTGAAGTCTAGAACAATAGAAGTGAAAATTTTCTGCAAATAAATTGCTTTCTCATTTTATTTAAAAAGGATGTGGAAAAATATATACCAAACTATTAACAAATGGTTAGCCACATGAAGAAAAATGAGACTGGGATAGGAAACAAGGAAATGGTAAAGGGGAACTTCATTTTTAAATTTTGGTTGTTTGAACTTTTTATAACAAAGATATATTCAGGTATCATTTATATGATTTTAAACTATTTTTTAAAATATTGAGTAAAATATTTAAATGTTACTTTTCATATAATGTTATTTCAGGTAAAGCAATGAAAAAATGGGTTGAATCCATCACTAAAATAATCCAAAGGAAAAAAATTGCAAGAGACAATGGACCAGGTCATAATATTACATTTCAGAGTTCACCTCCCACAGTTGAGTGGCATATAAGCAGACCTGGGCACATCGAGACTTTTGACCTGCTCACCTTACATCCAATAGAAATTGCTCGACAACTTACTTTACTTGAATCAGATCTATATCGGTATGTAATTTGATGTTCAAGCTGAAAAGTCATTTCAAATGAGTTAACTTTCAAAATGAAATCTGATTTCTGGCATGTAGGATTATGGCATGTAGACATAAATGAGGTAGTACACCAAGTGTCTCGTAATAAGGCCTTCTGTACAGAAGACGCCTCTTCGTTTACTCCTCGATCCCCTTTGCTCTGTCTGGGTTTACAGCTTCTCTCTTTATGCAGTCACCCTAGTTAGTGAATCTGCTAAATTCATTTGCTAACGTCGTATCCCCGGGCAACTTTAATCTTCTTCTGTGACTTACTCCTCTGCTACTTAGTTTCCTCCAGAGTAAATGGAGTTAATGATGGTACCTACTCCTAGAGCTGTTGTGCAAGGTTTAAAATAGTCCATATATTTATAGCATTTAGCACATTGCCCTGCACAGAGTAAGGGCTCAGTGAGTTAGATAGCACCATTGTCATTATGAACATAAGGCATGGCCATTTAACCTTTTTTAGTTTTCATATATTGATATAGCTACTAATCTCAAAAATCATGCCTGTTTCTAGTTTTAAATTTAGACTTTTTAGATTTCAAGCTGTTTATTTTTTTAACTAAATGGAAAGGGAGACTAAATGTATAGCTTTCCCACCAAAGATCATCACTATTCCCAAAATCAGTGTTAGAACCTTTTGTTTTTCTTTCCCAGGACTCTTCCTAAGAGAGTTTTTCCCCTTCCTTGAAGAGGTGGGGGGAAAAAAGATTTATAAATTGCAGCAATTACTATACCCTCAATTATTATATCATTATTTAAAAGAATTATCCCAAACTACTTTCTTTCCCTCATTTGTTAGATAGTATTTATAAGTGTTGGGAAAGACACTGTGAAGAAATCCCACCCATGCCCAAAGCAAAATACTGCTCTAAAGCAATAAAAAGAGTACACAGGTACATGCATACAAAATTTTTTTAAATCAATAGAAAGAATGCAAAACTATAATGCTTTTGTTTTACCTTGTTTTCATAAACGTTTTATCTCATTTACTTGATAAAACAACATACTAGAGGGGAAAATATCATGTAGAATTATGTCTTGATGATTTTAGAGCTGTACAGCCATCAGAATTAGTTGGAAGTGTGTGGACAAAAGAAGACAAAGAAATTAATTCTCCTAATCTTCTGAAAATGATCCGGCATACCACTAATCTCACTCTGTGGTTTGAGAAGTAAGTGTTATTGGTCTTCTTAATTTCATGACAGTCAGTTATGTGATAAATTTCACTGCAGTTCTATTTCCATGTCTCCTGTGTTTGTTGTTGTTGTTCCTCTGTTCTGCCTTTCTTTGACAATTAGTGAATGTTTTTCTAAAACAGTATATTAAGTGTTTTTTTTTTTTTAATGATTGCCTTTTAGGTTTGCCACATGCATTGTAACAGAATTAGTTTCAGATTATACCTGATATATATAGGTATATATATATACCTGTTACTCCTCTATAGCTCTATTCACTCCTCCCCTTTTGTGGTATAATTAACGATCGTAATTATAGATAACTGTAACTGTGGATCTAACAGTGCATTGTTATAATTGTTGTTTGACTGCCACTTGGTATTATTTTCTTGGCCCTTCACAGCTTTGCTGTCTTATTGGCAATGTATTTCACATACGTTAACATTTCTATGTGTTATAAACCCAACAATACATTACATGCGTATTATTTTATCCAGTTTTTTAAAATCAGTTTAAAAAAACAATGAGGAAAAAACAGGCATTTATATTGTTTCTTATAATTAAATAATTACCTTTACCAGTGTTCTTTGTGTAGATTCACACTGTTATCTGGGGTTACTTGCCTTTGGCTTGAAGAACTTAAGTTAGCACTTCTTATATGGTGGGTCTGTTAGCAACAATTCTCTTAGTTTTTGTTTATATGGGAAAATCTTTACTTTGTCTTCATTTGTGAAAAACAATACCCCTATAAGTTTAACTATTTATTTCTTCTGCCAGTTCAAACTGACTATTGAGTCCCTCTAGTAACATTTTTATTTTAATTTTCATATTATCATATTTTTCAAATCCAAAGTTTCTGTTTGGTTTCTTCTACAATTCCTGTGTTTTTAGGACACTCCTATTGATGATGCACACTGTCATCAGCTCCCCCCTTTACTTTTTAAATCATACTTCCCTTTAGTTCTATGAATAAATTCAGAATATCTATTTTGAAATCTCGTTGTTGTTAAATCTGACATATCAGGTCTGTCTTACAGGCAGTTTACCATTCATTCCCTGTTTTTTCTTCCCCAGTGAATCTTGACATTTTAGATGTCAAAGGAGATAGGGAGCTCTGTGTTTTTGGCTGTCTAGGCTGTGTCCCTCCACCCCCCACCTCTTCAAGATTCTCTGAGGAAGCAGACTCTTGCCTCTCTTACTGAATTGTAAATTTCCTGAATAGATGTTTCTTTACTTGCTGTTTACTCTTAGGGCCATTTCTAGAGACTGCTAGAACTTATATACTTTTAACAGGGTCCCTGAGGAGTAAGGAAGCATAACTTCTTGTCATGTCAGAAGTCCAGATTTCAATACAGTTTTTTAATTGGAACTGGAAATAAGAGTTTTATGTATTGGACATGTTTTTTATGATCTTGACCCATGTTTTATAAGGGTGATGTGAAGTTTGCACAGATCATATTGGCATTATCAGAACAAGAGACCAGTAACATAAGGGAATGACTGGAGCTATAGTGTGGATAAAGACCAGAAAGCAATTCCTAAAGAGAAATAAATCCTTTGAAAGTTAGGACTTCCTTTTATTTATATTATTACTTCTTAGCCTCTAAAAAGTAAAACTTTGGAGTTTGCCCTCTCAGTGTTGCTTCCTGATTTCTTCTTTATCAATCAAGTAACTATACTTCAATTGCAAAGGCTCTTTTCCATCATAATAGTTAAAAGTTATGTCTGTAAAGAGGAAACAGAACTCATAAGACCTACAGACAATTTCCATCTCTGTCCTATTTTTAATAGATTACTGAGAAGGCAGCCATTTCCTTTTCTTTTTCCTTTCTCTTGTTGTTTTTTTAATTGTGGTAAGATTTTTTCAATGTATAAATACAGTATTGTTATCTATAGGCATAATGTTGTAACAGCAGATCTCTAGAACTTATTTATCTTGTATAAATAAGTGCTAATCAGCATGAAAATTTATACACTCCCCATTTTCCTGCCTACCTGCCCCTGGGAATCATCATTTTATTCTTTGCTTCTGTAAGTTTTTTGTTTTCTTTTTACTGTTTTAGATACCTCATGTACATAGAATCATGCAATAGTTGTCCTTCTACCACTCGCTTATTTCACATAGCATAATGTCCTCAGCGTTCATTTTGGGATTTCCTTTTTTTCTAAGACTGAATAATATTCTATTGTATGTGTATTTCTTGTTTTCTTTATCCTTTCATCTGTAGATGGACATTCAGGTTGTTTCTGTATTTGGCTATTGTGGACAGTGTTGGAATGAACATGGGAGTGCTAATATCTCTTTGAGATACTGATTGCAATATTTTTGGATAAATACCTAGAAGCAGGATTGCTGATCATAGGAGAGTTCTATTTTTGAATTTTTGTTGTTGTTGAGGAACCTCCGTACTGTTTTCTATAGCAACTACATCATTTTGCATTCTCACCGTTATCATTGTATAAGGGTTCCAGTTTCTGCCTTTTCAATGGAGGAGGTTCTTGTTCACTTGCCACAGTGGTTTGGCCATAGATGTGCATTAGAATTGAAATCACTTCTCAATAAATCACCCCAGACTTACCTGGTTTTTACAAAAGCTCCATAGGTGATCTCATTTTGTATACCTAGTTAATATCAACTAAAATAGTTTTTTAAAAGATGTAAATATACTTGTATCATACCTTTTAAAATGTCCAGATAACTAGTTAGCCAATAGATGATATATTTATAGACATCTAGCTAATGTTTTAATCATAAACATGTTTAATTTGATAATAAGACAAGTTTATTTTGATAATTTTGCAATGTTTTTTTTATAGTGTTAGATCAGCCTCATCAGAGAATAGTATAACCTGCAACTTTACATTTTTGTTAATATTTAATATTGGTTTATATTTATTTTTTCCATATGTATATTTTATTTTTTCTTAGATTGATTTGTTTAATATTACATTATTGAAAACCTCTGGAGAAGGGAATGGCTACTCACTCCAGTATTCTTGCCTGGAGAACTCCATGGACAGAGGAGCCCAGCGGGCTGTAGTCTACGGGGTTGCAAAAAGTCAGACAGGACAGAACAGCCATTGAAAACCAAGTTTAAAATACTTTCTTTACTGATAAGTGAGTAGTAGATGAAAAATTCTCTCAAATATTAGAGAATAAATGCTCACTGAGGAATTCTTTTTTTGAGCATAGCTTCTTTTTACTTGGATATATATACTTTCCAAGGATTCTTCGTATTTAAATATAAAGAGCTTTTGTTTTCAAAACTGATTTCTTTATTCTTTCTGATTTTTAAAATTTTGTGCTTAATTGTAAAAGTCACTTTTTAACATTATAGTGCTTATCTCAAGAGCTGTTCTTAGAAATATAGCCAATTATTCCTACATATCAAAGAAATTGAGCATTAATCACTAAAATCTTACAATTAGATGAAGAATAAGAGTCAGAGAATTACAAATTTGAGAATAAGTTTCCCTAGAACACACCCACATCCTGAAGACCAGCATCCATTCAACAAAATGATAGATTGATTTTGCTCATACCCACTCCTGTCTGACTCTTTGCAACCCCATGGACTGTAGCCCACCAGGCTCCTCTGTCCATGGAATTTTCCTAGCAAGAATACTGTAGTGAGTTGCCATTTCCTACTCCAGGGGATCTTCCCCATTCAGGGATTGAACCCGGGTCTCCCACATCTCCTGCATTGGGAGGCAGATTCTTTACCTGCTGAGCCACTTGGGAGAACTCCAGTGCTGGAGAACACACCAAATATAGTAGGAAAAACGACTGACTGATTCGGTTTGGAAAACGAGAAGAGCAGCATGCCTGACTGAAAGCATTTCCTTCTCTTCTATTCACCTAATGTTTACCTGCCACCCTGAATACAGACTCTCTATTGTTACACTATAGCTGCCGTCACTCCATTTTATTTGGTAAATTCTTTAAATCACACCTTTGTTGGGAAAACTACAAATATTTTAATTTACTTTTTGTCTTTGATTCCCAGATGTATTGTAGAAACTGAAAACTTAGAAGAAAGAGTGGCCGTGGTGAGTCGAATAATTGAGATTCTACAAGTGTTCCAAGAGCTCAACAACTTCAACGGTGTTCTTGAGGTTGTCAGTGCTATGAACTCCTCCCCTGTTTACAGACTAGACCACACGTTCGAGGTAGGTTTGCATAGGTGATTTTTAAAATAAACTTCCACTCCCCATTCTAAGGATCAGGATTTTAACAATTATGTTCTTTAATTTTTGAGAGACACATCTATCTTTTCAGTAACAGCCAAAATGATGTAATTATCTAAATTTTTTATTGAATTGGTGTGCTCTTTTTTTAATTAGGCAACCTCATTAAAATACATTCACAGGTCCTAGCCTAAGTTAGAAGAAAAAGATTTCAGCATCTGATTTGTAATATAATGTATAATAAAAATGCTCAGATAATTGAGGAATGGCAAGATAAACTAGATTTCTCTCACATACACATGCTTTTTCTTTAAGATTGTACTAGAGTCTATGAAGATAGTCTCTTTGAAGCAGTGTTACCATTCTTAGAGTCAAACTGATACTGTCGTGTGTGGGCTTCTTTGCTGTAAGCCTGGCATTTGGGGGCAAAATCTGTGATTCCTTTTCTAAACTTACATTCCCTAAATATTTTTTTTCTTGTAGCAAATACCAAGTCGCCAAAAGAAAATTTTAGAAGAAGCTCATGAACTAAGTGAAGATCACTATAAGAAATATTTGGCAAAACTCAGGTCTATTAATCCACCATGTGTGCCTTTCTTTGGTGAGCATTTCTTCTTAAATTTTTATCATGTTTCTAAGACAGTTTTTCATTAAGTGACTGAGTATATACATGTCTAATATACCAGCTGAAAATACTTAACAAATATTTAGCACCTGAATTCCCTAGAATTTTTCTCTGTGAGGACTTTAAGATCAAGCCCAATATGTACATTCTACTTTTTATTTCCATAATGGGCAGCCATTCAGTATTGTATAATGCTTACTTCTGTTTTAATATTCATAGAAGTCTTTTTTATTGACTTACAGTAAACCAGATACTCTGCAGAAGAGGCATGGCCATATTTACCCATATTTATAACCATGCTTCTTATATACAGTTTTTTTCACATGGCTAAAAATCATGTGCCTTAGGGCCCACACGTTCTACACATCAAAATTTTACCTACTCTTTTTCCCTGTCTTCTGCACAAGAGGAAAGTAGTGCCTTTTCTTTCTGTAAAGACTGAAACCTACCGACCATCTGAATCTTCTCCCTTCTGATAGGTTTCTCTGTCTTATTCCATCATTTATTTCCTGTATTTTATATCTTCAGTATCTTTCACACTGGTTTCTTTTCTCTGCTGGTATGTATGCTCTGGTGATTCTTCCTCTAAATACTTACAAAAATTATGACCTCAATTACATAGGTGCTGTTTCATCTTTTTAGTATGTGGTATATTTTCTTCTAGCCTTTCCTTCATCTCTATTTGTATATTTTCTATATAGTTTTAAGTTATATTGCATGTAACATTGTTATGCCCTGATATTTTTTCAGTTAACATCTTTGTTCAGGCTTTCTAATAACCATTTTTATATTTACTTTTAATCTTTGTCCTATACATATTGTATATAGTTGTAACTGTGTGACATGTACACATTGTTTACTTTTTTCACTTAGCATGTCCCAAATGTATGGTGTTTTATTAGTCTTCATAATTACCATTTCTCATGGCTACATGACGTCCTTTAAAGTTGTTATGACAGTTTATTTAACCATTACCCTATGACCTGACGTGTGTGTTGTGTCTATCTTTTTTGCTTTCCTAAATAATGTTATAACGAATATCTTCATGTTTATGCTTATTTTATGCATTTGAGAATATTTTCTTGAGCTGTAAAGCCAATTTAGCTAGATAATTTATATCTAGCTGGATATTTCTTGAGCTAGATATTTTTACCAATCTGCCTTTTAGTTTTTATTCTTTGAAATACAGTTTTTCAAAAATTCTATAATCTGTTCATTTTCCCCATTATGATATCTATTGTTTCTAACCCTAGGAAGTTCTTCGAGTTTAGAAATTTAATATTCAATCATATTTCTCCTAGCTTTATGGCTTGACCTATAAAATTATATTTAACTTTAATCAAGTTGAAATCTTTTTTAGATATCATGAAATACTCAAATTTATTTCTCCACCAATTCTTTATCTGTTGACCCTGGTTTATTGAATAAGTTTTCTTTATTCCCGTTTACACATTGTACCCCCTTCTTTAAAAAAATATATTTCCCATTAACTTCTTTTTATATTATTTTAATTTTATTGAAGTAGAGTTGATTTACAGTGTCATGTTAGTTTCAGGTATACAACAAAGTGAATCTGTTATATCCATGCACATATATTCATTTTTTTTTAGATCCTTTTGTCATGTAGGTTATCACAGAATATTAAGTAGAGTTCCCTGTACTATACAGTAGGTCCTTGTTGCTTATCTATCATATATAGTAATGTGTACATGTTCATCCCAAGCTCCTGATTTATCCCTCCCTCCAGCATTTCTAAGTTTGTTTTCAATATCTATATGTCTGTTTCTGTTTTGTCAATAAGTTCATTTGTATCTTTTTAAAAATTAGGTTCCGCATATGAATGATACCATATGATACTTGTCATTCTCTGTCTGACTTACTTCACTTAGTATGATAATCTCTAGGTCCATCCCATTAACTTCTTATCCTTGTGCCCTAGTCTTAATGACTGGCACTTTATAATCAATGATTCTCAGCCAGGGCAGTTTTTGCCCTCCAAGAAACATTTAGCATTGTCTAGAGACATTTTATTGTTCAGTATAGTCAGTAGAGGATAGGAATATTGCTAACATTCTTCAGTGCGCAGGACAGCCCTCCACAACAAAGAATATCCAGTTTGAAAGGTCAGTAGTACCAAGGATAAGGAATCCTGCTTTAGGGGATTCCTTGGCAATCCAGAGGTTAGGACGTGGAGCTGCACTGCCAGGGCCCCACGGTTCCATCCCTGGTGGAAGAACTGAGATCAGAAGCCAATGCAGCAGGGCAAAAAAAAACCCCAAAATTCTGCTTTATATTTAAAATATTGTCATATATGGTAAAGCTGGCTTGTCTTTGTTCTTCAGTATTTTTTTTGCCAATTTTGTCTCTTTATTTTTTCAAATGAACCTAGGAATGAGGGGGTGATTCCCCAAAATACAGTTGGAATGATCTATCAATTAATTTGGAAAGGATGTACATATATGATATTTAGTTTTTTCCCTAGGTATTTTAAATTGTGAATAGTATTTATTTTTTAATAGTCAATTTCCCTTAATTCCAGGAATTACTCATTTCAGGGGATTTTCTAAATATTTAATCATCTAGAATAATAATAGTGGCTCTTCCTTTGAATTTATTTCTGTGTTAAGCCTTATAGCATTAGTCATAACTTCCTAAACAAAGGTTAAATGATAATAAAAATAAGAAATTCTATTTTAATCTCCATTTCAGCAGGGATACATTATAATTTTGCTGTTTGCATGATTCAATGCTGTTTACTGTGTTTAGAAAATTTCTCTTTATAGTTTTCTACTGCTTTTTTATGGGCAATATACATTTACTGTTTTAAGTAATTTGCTATGTGAGAGCAAATGATTTTTCTTGTTTAACAAATTAAAATTACAAGTTTGCTAATACTGAAACTTTCTGTTTACTCACATTAAGCCTTATTTGTTCATGGTGGATTAATCTGTTAAATATACAAATGAATCTATGCATTATCATTTTATTTAGGATTTTTGCATCCATCTTTGTAAATGAGATTGCTCTGTAGTTTCTCTTCTTGTCCTATATTTATCAGCTTTTGTTATTATGGTTATATTTACTTTGTAACAAAGGTTTAGTAGCTTTCCATATTATTTTATTCCAGGATGTCATGAAATGATCTAGCCTTTAAACTTTGAAATATTCCAACAGAAAAGCCATCCGGGCCTAGACTCTTTTGTATCATGTAATTCTATAATAACATTTTCATTTCTTCCTTAATTTTCGTTTTGTTTCAGTTTTTTTTTTTTTTGCTACACAGTTGTCTCATTTAAGTATTTTAAAGTACTAGCATTCTATTAAAATGACACTTTTGAATTTGCTCCTATCTGCAATATATTTTTCCGTTTCTATTTTTACTGTTTGTTTTACATACTGAGTTTTTCTTCAAAACAAAGCTGAAACATAATTATTCTCCCTGATTTTATAGTTTTATGTCATTTATGACCTTTTGTCATTATTAATTTATTCTGTCTTCTGAGGATTTTTTTCCCCATAAATTCTTGATAAAATTGTTGAGTTCATATATTTTCTCTTTCTGATAAAACAATGAAGTCTGTGCATTTACTTTTAAGTGTGGTAACTGGTGCCAGTTCATACAAAGGAACCTAAGAAGGACCTTAGGTCTGATGTTCATTTCATTCAACCTATCTACAAATGTTTCTTGAGTACCTAAGTATCAGGAACTATGTCAGGTGCTTAGAAAAAAAATGAAATATACATAGTCTTTCAGTACACTTGCTGAACTTAACAGTCATGCTACTCGTGATATCCTGTGGTCCCTGTTACTAGATATTTCCCCTCTATTAAGAGGGTCAAGGGTAGTATCTACCCAACACTTTCTTTATCGTCTTATCAGAATTGTTACTCAGTTTTTTTGGGCTGGCATTGCACTATTTACAGAATGATAAAAATCAGGCAGTTTCTCTTTCCAAGGTTATGCCAGGCTACGGGTCTATATCCCAATTTTTCTCCAGACAGTAAAAGGTGCTACTCACAGATAGAATGCCATGTATATAGGCAGACTAACATTTCCTCTCAGGTAATAGGATGTGCGGTAGATTCCCACCTCAACCAAGTCTCACCTCTCTAAGCGAAACTCCAAGCCGACAGCCTCGGCTCTGCTCTTGCCTCTCACAGAGCTTTAATTGCATGTCCTCCCGCTTTCTGGTCAGTTTGCTTCATCTCCACTCTTGCTTTCCTGCCATTTTAGAATTGACTGTATGTCTCTTGTATCCTGCTCTAGTTTGCAAGTGCTTTCATTTCTGTTCTGAAATAATGTGCTGCTTTTATTCATTCAGAAACATCAGTTGAATGCCTATATGTGCCAGAACCAGGACTAGGTGTTGAGAAGAGAGGGACAAGTAAAACACAGTCTTATCCTCAATAAGCTCCCTTGAAAGAGCAGGAAAATAAGTTACAGTGCTGTGTAGTAAATATACCACTGTACTGTAGAAACATGTAAGTCAGAGCATCAGCAAAGTGCTGTGGGAGCCCTGAGCAGCCACTTTTTCCCAGAAACCTCACCCCTCTTCATTATTTGTCATAATGCTCTGCTTTTCCTCTCCCTACAACAGCTGACTTCAGAGCAGGTATGTAAAATGATCTTTAAAAAAAAAAAATAGGCCTTAAGAGTTTATAATATTCAAGTCATATATATATATGTGCAGTACATTTTCTATCATATATATGTATACACATATATAAAAAAACATGCATGCTTAAACATTTTTTACTGATAGTTTATGATCAACAAAATTTGAACACCATGTCTTTAATCATTTGTTCTCCTTTTAACTAGCAATTTATTCGTCATAAGATAATTTCCAAATTTTATTCTGAACTCTCTCAAAATGCTACTTGTAATCATTTTCACAGCTTAATTCAAGTATACTTTTAACACCTACAATATCCCATAACTTCTTATCCGCATGTTCCCTAGTCAGTCATTATACCATTACCCAGTTAGACCCTCAGGCACAAAGTTGAGAGTCTTCCTTCTCACTGTGCCAAACTCTGACGAAACCAGTTAACCAGTTCTTGTGGACTCTACCTCTTAAATATTTATGCGCTCCACTCTATCCCTGTGGATCCTCATCATCTCACCGAGGACTACTGAGCTTCCTGCTTCTAGTCTTAACTCCTTCTTAACTCCAGAGAAATCGTTCTAGAATGTGAAGATGCTATAATCTCCTAATTAATTAGTGGATAAAATCTAAGCTCTTTAATTAAAAAACAGGGGGGGCGCCCTTCCTGATCCACAAACTCTTCACAATTGGGCCATCAATTTGTGACCAGTATGGAATATGGAAAGTTAATTTTGGCTGTCATCAATCATGTATACTGTCATGGATGTTTATCAGACGGAACATTGAGCTAAGTGGATCACTGCAACTAAGTGTAGTGCATGCTAACTCACTTCAGTCGTGTCCAACTCTTTGTGACCCCATGGACTGTAGCCTGCCAAGCTCCTCTGTCCATGGGATTCTCCAGACAAGAATACAGGAGTGACTTAGTGTAGAGGAGAATATAACTGACTACAAGTAAAGGAGTCAGTGATAGGAGATATGAAAAATAAAAGAGCCTGGACTTATTAGAACATATGATCATGCTGAGAAATAACCAAGTAACCAATACACTTAATAACTGAATACTTTCTAGAACCAGACAAGCACTGGTATCTATCATATTTCATTATTGCAAACTTGTTCACTTTGGTTTTGAGTCATTTAATCTTTCGAAGAAGATAACCAAAAATTCTAGTATTTAAAAGTTTTGCTTCAGGAATTCACTGGTGGTCCAGTGGTTAGGACTCTGCTTCCCTCACAGTGAAGGACCTAAGTTCTACCCCTGGTTGGGGAACTAGAATCCCACAGGCCATGAAGTTCCTCTACCACAAACTCATTTAGAACCACTAATCTCTGATTAGAATGAAAATGCCTGTTACTTTGTTCATTCTTCTCATCCGGTACCTAACGTATAGCTGCGGAGAAGGGATTAGAACTACTAACCTCTTGCCTATACCTGTCCTCATTTCCTGCCCCTCTTCCTCCACCCCACACACCAAATCCCTAAAGTCTAGCCAGTTCTGAGTATGCCTTCCAGCTTCACTACAGACCAATGTCTTCAAACATATGGCTGCCTTGCTTAGAACACCCCGCTATCTTACTCTACTTATTAAGCTTCTGTTCATTTTTTGAGATTCACTTTAAACATATTTTAATCCGTGGTGCCTTTTTCTCTCCCAGAAGCTCAAGGCAGAGTTAGGCACACCTTGTTTGTGCTCTCATAGCATCTTATGCTTTAGTACTAATTAATATAGCACTTACCAAATCGTACTGTAGTAGCCCACATTCAGAGCTCTGAGCTCCTGAGGGAGGAACTGTGTATCTTGTTCATCTTTGTATCTGCAGCACCTAAAGCAGTGCTTGGCATAGAGCAGAGGCTCAGTACATGTGTACTGAGAGCAGGGACTCATACGCACACACTTTTCCCCCCACGCATCATAGTCAGTACTTGAGAGGAAAGGCAGACATAAGAGGATAGGGTAAGAATAGCAACAACAGCATCAACAATCACAACCATAGATAATTAAGCATCTACTTTTGTCAGGCCCTATTCTAAGTCTGTACATAAATTTACTCATGATGTTTCTCACAGCAACCCTGCTATCTTCATTTCCCAGTTGAGTAAACCAAGGCACACAGAGGTTAAGCAACTTGTACAAGATCACGAAAATAGAAAGCAGCAGAGCTGGCTCCAAAACCTTTATGCTAGAACAGAAAGGAACTAAAAAGCCTGCTTTTCTGTTCATTCTCCTCCTTATCCATTGCACAGCCTGCAGTGATGCAGAAACAGGAACTCCTTACTTGGTTGCCATAATTCTAGAAGTATTGAAGACCAGAATATACATAAATTATATGCAGTCCTGTCCTTGATAGGATTGTACATCCTTTCACATTTTCATGAGTAAGCCTATCCAAACAGTACCACCTCTGAATTACAAATCCTAATAACCTCTTGAGGGCTCCAAGAGCTAATTATGCAGAAAATATGATACTCTGAAGTTAACATTTTCCTCTTTTGCCAAAAATATGCGTCAAGTGATGGGTTATTCTTAAAGTTCCATTAACAAAATCATGACATATGTCAAATAACATTATGATTGGGAGATGGAAAATTAATTATTCTTCCTGTAAATCTATTAATCTTCTTAAACTTGGTCTCCCTTTCTCTGATATTTACTTAGCCTGTTGTTTTTCATAGAGTGGAAATTTGTGCTTTAATTCTTTGGTTATGATGATTGAAATGGTACAGTGTAATATAATTACTGAAAAAGAAAAAACTAGCTGTTTCCATTTTTATCCTTGAAATAATTTCATTATATCTTCCAGGAATTTATCTAACTAATATCTTGAAAACAGAAGAAGGCAACCCTGAGGTCCTAAAACGGCATGGAAAAGAGCTTATAAACTTTAGCAAAAGGAGGAAAGTAGCAGAAATAACTGGCGAGATCCAGCAGTACCAAAATCAACCTTATTGTTTACGAGTAGAGTCAGATATCAAAGTAAGTTGAATTCTTAAAAGATACATATTTCTGATTAAGTTTATAACTACCTGATAAGAGTCGGGTTTATTTCATAGAAGAGAAAAAGGAAAATAAAACTTTAAATATTTCCAATTTTCTTGTGTTAAAATGTTTTAAGTTATTTTTCATGACTTTTAAACTGAATTTAAATTATTTAACATTAATAATATTTTATTTCTTTGCATTTATTTTAGAGGTTTTTTGAAAACTTGAATCCAATGGGAAGTAGCATGGAAAAAGAATTTACGGATTATCTTTTCAACAAATCCCTAGAAATAGAACCACGAAACCCTAAGCCTCTTCCAAGATTTGTAAGCATTCATATTATTTCCTTTACATTTAAATATTTTTTGCAGTTGTTATCTACATCTATCTGGTGGTTTATAGTTTTCTATAAAGGCATTCAGGGATGAAGTGCACGTGTAATGGATAAAAATAGTGGATAAATCCTTAATAAATATACTCAGGATTAGTCCACTTAGTTCAAGTAAATGAGCACTAACATTAACGTGAATAAAATCCTAATACAGTAGATGAAGAAGTTGGGCAAATGTACAAATTTTTGTTTTGTTTTGTTCGACAAAGAAAAATGTTATTCATTATTTATTTTAAAGGCAGGGAATTTGATTTATTCACTTATAGTAAATATATGTACTTACAACTTTTTTGAAAGTAATGACATGAGAATTTTAACTATGAATCATTAGCTGTAAAAATAACAGGTTTGGCATGATACTTTTTGGAGGGGGAAATAAAGTTTCCATTCTTTCCTATTACTTGTAAGTGCCTGACCAGATTTATGTACAATATCATCATTTCACTGTTCTGAATATAATCTCTCTTATTCATAAGAAAGTTAGGAACCAAGAAGTAAACATAAATGGCTTCTAAGTAACCAAGATAAATCTCATAATGTCTGTGAACTAAAGCTTAATGAAGTTACTCTATAAGAAAATTTCTCAAGGCGTAAAACAATTTCAAAAGACAGATTAAAAACAGAAAATTGAAAATAGCTATATATAGTCTGCTCCAGTGAAACATACTGACAATCATTGAGAAACAATCACTCTGTAAGAAAAAAAAGCCATAAAACTAGCATAAACAGGTGAGAACTCAAGCAATTTAATGCATTTGTAAATAGCATTTGTAAATAATCCTGATGGCATCACTGTATTACAGCATAGTTCAAAACAACAGTCCTGGCTTTCCTCCCAAGATTAAATTAGTTTCACACAGTCCACTTTAAAAGCCAGAGAAATGTTCACTGTATCTTAGAAAGATTTCCATCAGAAATATTGAAATAACAAATACTCTGGTATTTATAGGATTAAAATTAGGTTATTTAAAGAAATTCATTCCCTACTAATTTAGATAGCCAAGGCTTTATGGAAATGGGGTGTTAACACTTAACTTGGATACTTTGATTTGAATCAGTATTAGTGGTTTATGGTTTTCCTAGATATTAATCGAATTTTACCAGGCATTTATAGAAAAACCTTCTTTTCATTAACGGCGTTGTAAGTATTGTGTTTCTTTTGATATGTCTACAGCCAAAAAAATACAACTATCCCCTAAAATCTCCTGGTGTTCGTCCATCAAACCCAAGACCAGGTACTATGAGACATCCCACACCTCTGCAGCAAGAGCCAAGGAAAATTAGTTATAGTAGAATCCCTGAGAGTGAAACAGAAAGTACAGCATCTGCACCAAATTCTCCAAGAACACCGTTAACACCTCCTCCTGCTTCTGGTGCTTCTAGTACCACAGATGTTTGCAGCGTATTTGATTCTGATCATTCAAGCCCTTTTCACTCAAGTAGGTGTTCAAGTTTTAAGTGCTTTAAGTAACTGTTAGTGTTATATGTACTAGAGGTAAAAAGAATCTGTGTGTGTATATATATATTTATATATATATTTTTTGGTAAATTTGTAGATGTAAACCACATACCATTTCAAAATATATTATTATAAAAGTATAAAATAAATTAGAACAGCCCTCTTTAAATGTAGTATACTTTACTGGTAGGCCTGGTGATTAAATTTGTAATTGAAATTTCATTTGAGCATTTGTTTTCAATTGGTGAATTTAAAATGCCTCTCTGACTTCAAGAGGAAACGAAGATAAGTGCTAAAACTGCATGGACTAATCAATCTGATGCCTTAAATGTTTCCTCCAAAATTATATTTGAAACTGCTCAGTACATGATTTCTTTCTCACCAAATCTTGTAGTTTCTAATTTTACAATGTATCAAATTCACACTTCTACTTAACCTGTGTTCACTCAACAGCATCCTGTATAGTGCCTACTAATAAACTCCTGTGCTTTCAAGCCCAGCCAATCAGCTCTCACAGATTGCACACTGTTGCTCATCCTTTTCTGTTTATAAATCAGTGCTGTCCAATAGAAATATTTATGATATGAGCCCCATATGTGACTTTTAAATGTTCTTTCTACATTTTTAAAATGCAAAAATTAAGTGAAATTAATTTCGATAATATATTTTATTTAACCCAGTATATACAAAATGTTGTCATTTAAATGTGAAATCAGTGTTAAAATTTACTGAGATATTTTACAATCTCAGTTTTTGTCCTAAATCTTCAAAATGCAATATGCATTTTATACTTACCGCAGATCTCAATTTGGACTAGCCACATGCAAGCATTTAATAACCACATGTGGCTAGTGGGTACCAAACTGTACAGCCCAGCCTAGCCCTTTGAGAGGCTACCTTCACTGTTACCATTAATTTTTTTAATCAATTTCATATTGAGCTTTAAAACTCTACTAAGATCTCAGAACCTTTTTTCATTTATTCATTACTAAATCAGAATTTGAATGCAGTTTCTTTTAACCCTTTCACAACCACTTCCACATGCTCTTTCCGCTGGCTGTCTTAGCTCATTGTATAGTTCAAGTTCTCCCCTAATATTAGACGTAATAGAATCCAATACTGAGAGGCAGCCTAACATTGTTGGGGAGGTAGTTAAGCACTAACATAGGATTCCTAACTCCTAGTTTGTCATTTCAGTCTGCTAGTGAGCCTTCTGATTTTAGATAAAACAGTTTCTGGGTGCCTTCTGTGGATTAAACTAGATTTTTAAGATTTTTTCCAATTCAGAAAAATCTGTTTTAAAAAAAATTACTCTATGGAGTTCTATTATTTTGAGATTTGGTCCAGAATACTACCTATTTATTCCTGTGTTGAATATATATTTGTAGTTACCCATTAGTTTGTCTTATCTTTTCTACCACATAAACGGTGTTTGTTTTAAGAATTACTACATCTTGGGTTTATTTGGCTACTGAAGATTACAAAATCATGTTATGTTACTAGTAGGCTATCAGATATTTTTTATAAGTTCAAGTAAAACCAGGTAAAATATTACCATTTCCCCAACTCACCAACTTCCTAAATTAAGTGATAATATAAAACCAGCACATTTTACAGTATACCTGACTTAAAATTATTATTTATTATGACCCATTTAACTGTTTGAAGAGGTTTTTTTCCTCAAGCAGATGGCTATGATCTGTGTTATAAAGATTCCCACATGCGTGAATTATTGAAATTGCCTGAAAGCCATCAACTGAAAATTCTGTTTTTCTTATTGAAGTAGCTAAAAATGAAAGATGTGGAGAAACAGGAGATAAACATATTTCATTCCCTACTAGTGCTGAATCTTTAAATGATTAGTCAAACAGGGAAAAAAGAGTCATTTTGGAATCCAGTGTTCTGGATCATTGTTTTCTCATATGTGGCAGTGGAGTAATATTAACTTAAAATAGCTGGACAAATGAAGAAACCACTGTAGCAAGAATTAGGCTTTGTAATCTTATCCCTGAGGATTTTTTCAGTTTCTCTTCCTTTGTGATAAAAGGAAACCCCTGTTACTATTCCTTTTGTTCTTAGTAAAAATTGAAAATAACAGGTTTTGAAGTTAAGAAAGCCAGTATAATACAAAACCATCTGTAAGCTCAGTTAATCCCCTCCTTAAAGTTCATCTACGGATATTAAAGGTCCTCATCTGCTTTTGACCCCACTCTGCTTAACAGATCTGCTAGTATTAATGGGGGGAGGGCCCAGTGGTCACCAGCACATCCAACTGGTACTCATTGTGTTGCCACTAGAGCGAATGCCTACTTCCTTGCTGTCCTCAGGGCCTGGCAGGAAAGAGCTGCTGCACCTACATTTTTAAGTCATCTGGTCATACTCAGTACAAAGAGGCAGAAAGGCACTGTGAAGCAAAGGCATTGCAAAGCAAAGACATTGCTTAGGTTTTTCAAGAGGTAGAATTTGACTAGAATTTTTTGATCGGTTATAATAGTTGTTTTACTTTTTTTTTTTTTTAGTTTTTTTCTCCAAAATAATTTACTTTAAAAACAAAGATTAATTTCTTCAGCCAATATCTGTCAATATCTCATTTCTTGCTAAGTAAGCTTGGACACATCTTCTCTGGTATGGCTTACAACCTTACTGAGAGATTTAAAAAAATAATCATAATAAAAGAAACTCATAGTTAAATGCTTAACAAGGGTTAAATGCTTTGATTCTGTTTGTACTATGATTTTTTTCATCTCTCAGTAAGATTGCAGAGATGTATAAGTTTTAGTTTATTGACAAAATGCTAAATGAGTGAAGATATAAATGCAGTAGAAGTTCACACAAAGATGACCACAGAACGGGCAGGAATGGTCAGAGAAAACTTTGTGGTGAAGACAGAGAGGGAAGGAAACTGGCCCCTCTGGTGCTGCTACACGTGGCCTCACATTCAGAGCCCTGCTCCACACCTTGCGCTCACCAGGTCCACCTCTCAGGTGATGATGACGGTGGCCGGGAAAAGGGGAAAGGCCACCAGCTTTCTCTCTGTGGCTCTAGCATGGAGGGAGAAGGATGAAGTGCTCTTGGTACCTTGCTATTGAAGGCTGCCTGGTGATAAAAGGGTCTGGCCTGGTCTGTGTGCTACAGATGAGCTTTATCCCATCCCTTAGTAGGGAAGGCTTTAACAAGAAAAGATATATTTCAAGCTGGAATGCAAAGCTTTTCTTTGTAGCAGATTGTTGTAGGTGATTAGTTTCTGATCTCATACATTTGCATTTAACAGGCTTTTGTGAATTTAAGAAATTATCCATGATTTATATAATTTTTTTCTATAGGAAAATGCTATTTTTATTCTCAGAATGACTCAGTTATAAGTTGGAGGTTATCTTCCAACAGTGGTTTCAGCCCTGACTGAAAGTTATAATCCCCTGAAGAGTTTTAAAAAAAATACCTATATGCTCAGTCCATGCTTGTATTAGACCAGCATTGGCATGTGGGCATCAATATTTTTAAAAACCTTCCAGCAGAGCCTAACGTGCAGGCACAATGGAGAAACCACTGATCTGTTGTCTGGGATTTGTACTTTACCAATTTATGCTACTTTTTGATTAACTGGATTTCAGCCCTAAGTCACTGTCAATAAATTTGTTCAGTACCTAGCTGACAAGAATTCCTAGTATATATTTCTTGAGATTTATAATGTATAATTCTCAAAGAATTTTTTAATAGCATTTTCCAAGCAGTAAGACTAAGCAATTAGTTTGAAGTGACAAATCAGAAAAGTGCCCCAAGTTTACACATAAATCTAAGCCTTTGCTGTATATACATTAGACCAAAGCCCAGCCCACAACTGTGTGCACAAGTATGTATGTGTAAGTGTAATCATTCTTTCTAAAAGCCTGCAGTTGGTAGCTGTCATTAGCTTATGTTTTGATTTTACTCCTATATTTTACTAAGTATACAACCATGTTCTCGACACTTATCTCCAGAAAGCATACTTATTTCCTTTCCAAAAAAGTGGAAAATACATAAGTAGTAAGCACTGGAGCAGATACTCCCTTTAAACCCCTGTTATGTTAGTGAAGAGAATCTCATTTGTAGTGAAAAGAATCTTTGACACAGCAGCAGCATTACTTAATGTCAAAAGTATAAAAATGAATTTTAATCTTTTGAGAGCTAACTTATTAGGATTAGCTGGATTGCTACCCTCAGTAAGCGAAAGGAGGTAGTACTATATGTTATTTGAAATCAGGGCTGTCTGGGAAACAAAAACACTGTATCTATATAAGCAGTCAAGTGAATGGTTCTGCCAACTAAACCTATGACGTAAAATTATGCTTGTTCTGACCAAAGAAGCTAGGAAAAGCAACAGCCCTAATTGTTTGAGTGATTGTTTGTTGTGCAAAAATGAGAGAGAGAAACCTGAATTAATCAGCTCAGTCTCATGCTAGAGTTATTGCTTTAGCCTCTTAATGATCTGTTCGGTATGTTGGTGATATGAGGCAGTGTAACCTAAACGACTGTATTGATTTAGAACCAGTATAGATCCTCTAGCTTTTGTCTCAGTTTTTCTACTTTAACGCTCTCAGGGCTTTGCATTTTATGATTTTCAATTTTTTTCTTAAAAGAATGAGTATTGTTGAAATTAGATATTCAAAAATTATCAGTTTCCTGCATAAATAATGTGTCTAAGCACCAAAAATATTTAATGATATTTTAAGTGTTTAAAAATATAGAAGGAAAAAAGCTATATCACTTTCAGCTTGTTTGTAATATCCAAAGCTATAGTTATTTTGTGATGAACACATGCCCCACGAACATTTCTAAGGTATATATATACTACTACTGACAATAATGGTAAGAAATTCCCTTTTATTTCTCAACTTTTATAACATAAATTCATTATTTACTACTTATTTTCACAAGTTTGGGTTTTCAAAATAATCCTTATTGAATGACATATTTCTGTATGTCCAACTGAATTCTTTGCTCAAATTGGCTTTATACATTTTTTGGAAGTCTTCCACTAAAATAGAAGGATATTATAGTTTTCTCATGAATGCTTTTTCATTTAATTATTATGACATCAAGTAGTGAACCTAAAACGAATCTTCAAAACTCCCAATGATGTTAATGCAATTTAATTCTTTTTCTCAAAAGTAAGTAGTAATGAGCTTTTGCTAAGCTGTTCTATCATTCTTTAAAACTAGAATGACAGAAATAACATTTCTATTATCAATAAATTTTTACAGATGAGTTGAATATATTTATGAAAGAAAAAAATCTACTTTTTCTTGTTTCCTTTCACAGGCAGCGATACCGTCTTTATCCAAGTTACACTGCCACATGGCCCAAGTTAGTATATTTGGTTTAAGACTCATAATTTTTGCTTTGGCTTTAAAAATTAAACCAAATGTAACCTTTCCTGCTAAAACTCGTCTTGGGTCTGGCAGCATTGGTGCCTTGCTTTGCAGCATCTTAGAAGTGAGGCCTTCACTTGTACTGTCTTTTGATCATAAATGATTTGCTTAAACTTATATAATTCTCATGCTTTTTGTAAAACCTTTCTTCTCTTTTGAAAGAACGTTATTATATGGGTGGCTTCCACATTTAACCATTTCTCATTTCCAACTCTGGAGTTCTAATGCCCAACTTAAAAAAAAAGCAAGAGCATGCATGCGCATATGAGAATGTTGGCAGCTACATGCAGTGTCTAAGTCACAAAATACTCTTAGGCTGGGGAAAGCACAGGCTGTAGGCAAACAACTGTTATTTGACTTTAGAACAGCTGTCTTATCACTGTGACTATCTGTATTATATAACCTAAATATTCATCACTAATAAGCAAAATAAAGTTCCAATGTAGGTATTTGTTTTTAAAGTAAACTAACAATTCACCAACTATCCCTTAAATTTTAAGCCAATAGATTGTTTTTTGCTGCCCTTCATACAAATGATTTCAGAATGTATACCATGGAAAATAGTTTTATAAGCTAACTTACACAGTCTCATAAGAAGAAAGGTAGGTGATCAGAATGTTGCTCATTTAAATAATATCAATACACAAAGTACTCTAAGTTCTATCTTGTTATAACATTTAATTAACAAAATTAAAACTGTCAGTGTTTAAAGGAAAGAAAACCTGCCAAATACAATTTTGAATGATCATTTAAGTGTTTTTTCACATCTTTTTCATTGTGCTGATGTACAGGTTAACTTACATTAATGTTTTTCAAAGTGTAGTTATTTATATGCCTATATTAAGCCCTTATCATAAATGTTTATAAGATAGGTTACAATCAGAGGCTTTTACTTACCTTTTTTAGTGCCAATTCATCAATTTACTCCTAAATCAGGTTCATTAGGTTCTAGTGTAATTTCTGTTTTTATTATCCGCACAGCCTCAGTCATTTAAAATGTGTTCATCACAATGAAAAATTCTGGATTAGAGTGTGATGAACCTGACTTTGCTTCCCCACCAAGAAGAGCTGATACCTAAGCAAACTGAAGAGATCCCTCCCTGGGACAATAGAGTCTCTCCCTGCCGTCCTTTTAAAGGACGGCAGGGAGAGACATTGGAGAGAGTGGTTAAGACCAGAAAGTATTCCCAAAGACTATCCAGTGAAGGCAAGGAAATTCTGTACTAATACAGTCGGGGGGGCCCATCATAAAAGGTTAACAAAAGTTACCATTCCAAAAGTTTTTAATAGTTTGCTCTCTCCCAGAAAATTCCAGTAATAGATTAACAATAGAAATGTTATTTTGTTCAAGAAGTATAACAGAATAATTTAGGCAGCTTTTTTTCTGAAAACTCTGCTAAGAAATTTCTGCATGCTTTTATAGCAGTTTGCTTTAATAAAGGAAGTACTGTTGGTTGTTGCTTTATTGAACTGCTTTTGATACTTCTGTACATTTCTTTTAATAAATATAAGCAGGATTGATGAAATAAAATTCCTGTGAACTTTTCAAAATTGTATCATCTACAGGATCTGCTTCAGTATCATCTATAAGTTTAACCAAGAGCACTGATGAAGTGCCTGTCCCCCCTCCTGTTCCTCCACGAAGACGGCCAGAGTCTGCCCCAGCGGAATCTTCACCATCTAAGGTAAAGTAGAATATCTGGTTATCTGGAGACTGGAATCATTGCAGTTCCATTATAATCAAGTGCTCATCTCTCATTGAGTTTTAACTGAATGAGGTTAATACTCAGGGTATTGGGGCTTAGTAGAGTGTAAACCAGAATTAAGTATGGGTTTACCATGCAGTAATGTTTATTTCCTTTCTTCTGAAAACAGTTTTCTGGTAGGTTTTCAAAATACTTGTAAATCTAAATATGGGTACTGTCAAAAAAAAACTCCCAAAACACAAGTTTAACCTATAATTTAAGAGTAATGTAGTCTCAATCTGTTCTTTAAAAAGATAGACATAAGGAAAGAGATCTGAAGCTTTATATGAAGGCATGTTTTAAATGAAACTTTATCTCAGTGCTATATGTTACATATCTAAGCCTGTAACAGGTGAATCTGACAGGCTTTTAAGTGGGATTTTCATGAAAATTCCAGGTTAGAAGAGACCTTAACAGCTCATAATAGCTATTTTTTTTTCCCTACCTGTTTAAATTTCTTTCTTTGCCAACTGTTAACATGATTCAGTGGTCTCAAGGTGTCCAGAGAGCAGAGCAGCTGGGCAAGGCAAAACTCTTTGCAGAATACCATGAGATGCTATTACAGTAAATTTAACATTGTAAAATTGATAGGTAACATGCTAAGTTGAAATGATCTTATATTAGATTGAATGAGAGGTAAGCAGCAGCAAACAACAAAATTTTGAGAAAAATAAAAACTTAACATTGAAGGAAAAATACTTTTTTTAATGAATGAACTGCCATAACCTCCAATTTAAAGCATATGGCAAAGCTCCCTGATCCCCACCTAGAGTTCTTCCAATAACATATTTGAAAACCCAGCTTAATTCTTAGCATATTCATGGTGCTACATATGTTGTTAATAAATGTGCTTTTTTTTTCCATTTATGTTAGATGATGTCTAAGCATTTGGACAGCCCCCCAGCAATTCCTCCCAGGCAACCCACATCAAAAGCCTATTCACCACGGTATTCAATATCAGACCGGACCTCTATATCAGACCCTCCTGAAAGCCCTCCCTTATTACCTCCACGAGAACCCGTGAGGACACCTGATGTTTTCTCAAGCTCACCACTACATCTCCAACCTCCCCCTTTGGGCAAAAAAAGTGACCATAGTAATGCCTTCTTCCCAAACAGCCCCTCCCCCTTTACACCACCTCCTCCTCAAACACCTTCTCCTCACGGAACAAGAAGGCATCTGCCGTCACCACCATTGACACAAGACGTGGACCTCCATTCCATTGCTGGGCCGCCTGTTCCTCCACGACAAAGCACTTCTCAGCATATCCCTAAACTCCCTCCAAAAACTTACAAAAGGGAGCACACCCACCCGTCCATGCACAGAGATGGACCACCACTGTTGGAGAATGCCCATTCTTCCTGAGTTCCTCTGGACCAGGATGTACGTTTTCCTAGCCCCAGATCCATTGCTGGCGATGGATGCACTGAACGTGCCAGCACTGAGGAGTTAAAATGAGAACTCCAAACACTAACGACTCTACTTCAAGATGCAGTCATAAGACAATGAATTTTAACACGGACATAATTATAAAGTGAATATGGAAAGATTGATCTAGAGGAAGTGGACAACTGATTTCACCTGAAAATCAAGTAAAGGAAACTTTTGCCAGCCAGTAGGCAGGAGTCCTCTTTTTGTGAAGTGATCTTATCATTAAAGGGATGGAAAACAGTCTAGTGTCCAGCAGGCCCACATGGTGACAGTTTTTGTAATTCAAAATCTTATGCACTTTTTAAAAAGAAATCTTAAACAGGGATCTTCAAATCCTCCTTTGTTTTCCTTTGCTTTTACTCGTCCTACTTTAGAATATTTCCTTAAAACTCATTCAGAGGACTGTGAGGAAAGGCCGTGGTACCCGCCCTTGTTGGAGTCAGGGCCAGCTCCACCCTGCGGTCCTGTTTACAGACCATCACAGTGAAGTGAGTGGGTACCGAGGCTTCACCAAAGAGGTACTTTTTTTTTTTTTTTTAAGAATAATTATGCCAATTTTAAGAGCATCGCCCTACCCACCCTCCCTACACAAACAGAATGTGGTGGTGTTGCCTTCAAATGAGAAGTTTTGTAACAATGACAGAAGAACTCTTCTAAAAATGTAACTGTCAAGCATACGATTTACATTTAGGAGACTGTTAATCTTTATGCTAGACTGTCATTTCCCCCCCTTTCCCACAGAAGTTTACTGGTAATCCATGTCATGGCTTGTAGATGTCCCTCTAACCGTACTGTGGAGATGCAGTCACCCGGTGGGAAAGGAGCGCTCGTTGGGCGTCGCTGACACCAGTCATGTTTGACTAATAGTTGAGTGATCAGCATATCTAGAATTACCTTGCATTGCCTAAATCATGTGTATATAGTGAATGTTATATAATATACCTGGCAGGTCTGTTTTAATTTAATTGAATAAAGATACAAATACTTTGTTTGGCTGGCATATATTAAATTATTATATGGAGAAAATGGTTGATTCTTATTTCTTTCAGTTGAAACACACACATACATTCACACACACACACACACACACACAACACTAAGCATAAAAGCACGTATTGTGGTACGCCTTGGTTTCTAGTTCTGGATGTATGTATTCCTCTTAAAAGAATGATCTAAAGTTGCAGTTTGGCATGTAGGAAAATATTTGGTTAGAATAGGATGGGTATCTTTTAAGCAGAGCTTTGTAAGGTTTTAAATTTCCTAGGTAACATGTATTACAGTTTGTTAAAGTTTATATTAAACATTCTACCTTGCCTGAGGTCTTTGCTCTATCAGAACTATTTGTAATAGAACATCTACCTACATCATTAATATCATAATATGGATTATTCATTAAACCTATGTACTGACCTTCTGAGTCTAACAAATACTGTGACTGATATGCATGCAACTTGTTGAAGAGAAAAAATGTTATTAATCTCCACTATAATATCTGTGAAGTGTGCAGTATTCCATCCTTAGAGAGTCATCAGTTCATCTGTATCTGCATGTGTCCTCTGAATAATGAAGTAACATTTCAGCAGTTCTGTTAACCATGCCATTAGAGGCATTTTTAGAAGTGCTGCATCATGGTGGAAACCTAGTACTTTAATAATTTTCTGTGATATTTATTAGAGCATTAAATGTACATCACAGTAGTACAATATAGTCCTTTAAGACCAGAATGTTGGTTGCATCATCATTAAGCAATCCATCCTGTCATATCCTTTCTTATTTATTTGTTAGAGTTGAATCTTTTGTTTTTAATATTTGTACCATTCCTATCAGGGTAGCCACTTTTATGAAATGTCTCCTTTCAAAAGTCTCCCCCAAAATTTATTTCAAATCCACTCTTGTTTGCAAAGTGTCCATAAGACCATTCATTCAACAAGTATTTATCTAAGCCTACTTACTAGTGCTGCTACAATTAATCATAATACACATTCCAGAATTTCCATGACTTTTTATTAGACCAGCCTCATCATCCCTAGGATTTCTCTTTATGTGTCTTATGCACACTTCTCTTTAATTACCCCAACCCTAACTCCAAATGAGAACCTGAGAAAAGTCACATTGGAGCCCATTCAGTATCCCTCTGGCCAGTGTGTTAGCCTTCTAATAAGGTAATGACCTCTTTTCAACCTGCCTGATTGCATAAAGAAGAAAAACTCAGATTTGAAGTTCTAATCATACTTCTTCCAAAGGGAAGTATTCTTTTACCCTGGTGGTTCTAGGCGACCGCTTCACTGTGCATCAGCTGTATATGCATTGTGGATAGAGGATACTTGTACTCTGAAGTGTAAAAGTGGGGTCAAAATATTTTCTGCAGTGGTAACTGATTAAAAAATTTTCAACTGGATGCCCTTAAACAGTGGTGAGAAAACTGTATCCTTGCCTTCTTCACATGTGAAGCATTAACTCACTGGCAGATTTACTCTTTGTAGTAACTGAAATCTACTTAATCCAGGGACAAGAAGTGGCTGAGAAGATAAATGCATCACCACAAAATTCTGCTTTTGAATTCAGGACATTACAAAACAGTCAGTGCAGCATGACTTTCCTAAACCACATTCCAAAACATGGAACATTTCTTTTAGAAATGGAAATGCTCTTAGTTGTTTCATTATCTTTGGATCAACAAAATGAAAATATTTCAGGGCTGAATTTACCTACATGGGCCAATAACCAATATAATAGAAAGGGAGGCTTTTCACATCTAAGTACTTTTAAAAACAGGAACAAATAAAGTATATGTTTCTAAATTTATCGAAAGGTTATTTACTCTTTCTGCATCTCCAAATGTATTTTAAGACTACAAATTATCAGGAAATGTATAAACGTCAAAAGTTAAATTAAAGGTTGTTGGATATCAGATTATGTGTTCAGTAGGTTACTACGCTCTAACAACTCAAGAATGGTTTAGTAAATCTAAATTTAGCGAAAAGCATGCCACCCTAATTATACTACAATTAACAGAACAGTGTAGTGAACCGTACTTTTTCAGTTGGAGGCTACATTGTGGTTCCAAATTCCTTAATGTGTTTTTCCCTACATTAAAAATTAAATCAAAAGTTAGTTGCTATCTATGATCACTATCTTGTCTTAATTCTCAAATTTAGCTCACTTTAATCATGTACCTCATCGTTTGTCTTTTAATGACAGCTTAAATTGAGAGTTTTAAGTGGCTCAGCAAAACAGAGAATGCAAATAGGGGGGATAATTCCAATTTATTAGTGTTATACATATTAAGGAAAACCTATTTTTTTCCCCTCCAGATTCAGAAAGAAAAAATAAACCATTTATTTCTTGGTTTTCTGCTGCTATAGGTAGGTTCACTTATCTTTTAACCTATATTGTATGACTGTTGTACAAGTGTAGGTCCTATGGAGTTGCACATTAATCTTTACCAGTAAAATAAGCATCACAAGGGTTAATACCAGTTTGGCTGAAAGAATTATGCAGTAAAATTATTTATAAGGGAAAGTGGTGACTTAGTTTATTTATTCAATATTTTTCTTTTGAAGCATCTCATTACTTTTAAAATCATTTCATAATCCTTTATACATGAGCCAATGAAATCTTTTGAGCTCTAGTTAAAGAAAAGCATGAAGTCTATATGATAAATCTGAACAACAAAAGCACTTGTAACTTGTTTTGTAAATTTCATGCCTTATTTTCCATTTTTGACACCGTAAAGTGCATTTTCTGTCAACTGTGAGCAAATTTCCCTTTTGCCTTTAATAAAAATAGTGCATTAAGTAGCCAATTGCTGCAGAATTACAGAGCAAGTTAGCTAAAGGTGGATCACATTGGACTACCACTCAAAGAAACAAGATGCATAGCAGATGGAAGTCACATGTGTGGCTTTAGGGAGAGCGCACCTGTGCCAGATGCATGCCACTTTTCAGTAGCTGCCAAATGTGCCTTTAATTAAGAACATCTCTAGTTTTTTTCTTCAGATCAAGTCAGCATTTGGGGGCGGGATCAGGGCAGGGGACTCTGGGGTGCAAATATCTGGTGAAATCCACCAGAGAAGAAGCCTTCGTTTGTCAAAGTGACATGAATAACTTTAGTTGAAACATGTTTGTGTATATATGTGTGTATTTGCCTTTGTTTAGTAGCACGGTTATTTGCTAAAATAATTGTCCAAAAAATTGCTCTGTCAGTCTTACTCTGATGTAAAAACAAAGTGCGGTCTACACATCTAATACGGCCTTTGTACCTAACCATGTTCATAGGTGATCTTTGTACTCTTGTGTGCGGCAGTATTTGGTTTGCATTTAAAGTGAAAATAATGGCTGTTATTTTTCTGGCATTACTAAGATAAACCGAAAAATAATAAAGAAAAATGCCTTACATAGCCCACACGTGTATTATTTTTGCATGTGTTTATTTTAGAGAGCAACATTTTAATGTCATCAGTGACTCTCATTTTAGCTCATACTCTATAGAAATGGTTTGCTCTTAATCATGCTCTGGCTTTGAGGTGTTTTTCTCTGTATCACAGTATTATAAAAGAAGTTGAGTACTCCCTCCTGTTGCACACGCTATGCATAGAGTGAGTGGGAGGACACCAGGATGAAAATTAGTGCTTTAGTGACCTTGGGTGCTACTTGGATAAGTTACAGGGGGAGGGCTGAGGCATCTGTATTCCCTGAAAGATGTTTTAAGATACCACAGTTCCTCGAAAGGCAGGTTTTGCTGAGACCTGCTGGAACATGGCAGACTGACATTCAGCAATTCTTCGTAGGCTTGGCAGGAAAAGACACAGCTTACAGCCGCACACTGTAAAGGATTATGCAAATGTGAGGCCATTCACGGTGAGCTGCAGAATGCGAAAACTCTTGAGCCTGAGAGAGCTAATGCCCTCATTTAAAACTGAAGCAACTGATTCC